TGGGCTTCGCCAGCTTCCACAGGGTGGGTCATATCTAGCAATAAAAGTCTGGCTTGAAGTGAGGCAAACTTGCCGGGGGTTTGGCCTTGTAGGTTAGGTGGTCTGGACCGGTCCTCAGTCCTCTCCACAGGCCCAGGTGTCCCCATGCCGATTTCTTCCTTTATTGAAGGTCGAATTCCGCCCCGTGTGCCACGGCTCAATCTCATTATGTCCGCAGCGACAATCATCACCTTAAAAGATCTGCGAGATACTAGCAAGACTCATTAAAGGTTTGTAAATAGTGGAGAGTCATCGCTAAGGAAATTGCGGGAGGGGGGTGACTTTGCTCAGCTTCAAACCCAGGAGAGATCCGGCAGGACCCACCCTGCGCGCAGCACTGGGCCGGGGGAGCTCCTCCGCGTGGAGTGGGACTCGAGGGTACAAAGGTGACGCAGGTCTGAAAGGTCAAAACCGTCCGCAGGGCTTTACCCAAATGATGCAAAACACCCAGCCCCGTGCAAAGGGGGTGAGTAACACTCGGTGCTGGAGCCTCAAGTAGTGCGAGGCAGGCAGCTGTCTTCTGCCCCGTTACAGCCTGCCACTCCCCTCAGCACTGTAAAATCAGGCAGAAAAAAATAAAATAAAATCAGGCAGGTACTTCATCCAGCGCTGCTCGCCCCCGGGAGCCCGCAGCTGTGAGCTTTGCTGAGACACGCGGCTGCGCATCGCTGGCGCACCCAGCACTCGGCCTGTAGCCGCACGCCAGGTCCAGGTGCTAGTGGCCTGGCCGCTGGGGACAAACTGACTGGAAAGGGCAGGAGGGACGCTGGCCTCCGGTCAGAGAGGACCCCACACTGTCCAGTGCACTGGCCACGAGCCATGTGTCCATTCAAATGTAAATTCTAATTAAGATGAAATGACATTGAAAATCCTGGTTTCTCAGCCACACCACCGTCCTTCCAGTGCCCAAAGCCCCTGATGGAGGGGGCTGCCTGACCGATGGCACAGAGCGAGGCCTCCGATGTGAGATGCGCCATTGCTGGTGCTGTCGGGAGAGAGCCACGAGCATCAAGGTCTGCGCGAGAGCCAGACCCCAAGGAGGAAGCCACCCTGCGGGCCGTGCAAAGCACCAGCAGGAACGCACGCCTGGGTGGTGCTGCTTTTAATTAATAGGACATCTCCGGGCCTGTCTTCTGTTCACGCTCCACTTTGCAGATTTCTCACCAGAACTGCGGAGCCTACTCAGCAACCAGCTGCCTGCTCTTGGGGCTATGGTCTCCGGGACTCATTCCCGCTGAGGGACTGCACGCCCAGGCAGCTAAGGCAGACAGAAGACGTTCCCATGAGCACAGACCCAACCCACAGCCTCTGCCCCTCGCCCTCGCCCAGCTTCCTTTCCAACCAATGCCACTGTGCCTTCCTTGCCTCCGCCCCCCCCCCGCCCCCCGGGGCCCTGAGCAGACTTGCCACCCTCACAGTAGGGAGAGCAGAAGGACCAGGGAGTGGCACTGAGTTCTTCTGTATTTTGGGGAGAAGAGGGGTAGGTTTCTTAGTCTCCTCAATATTCTCTTTTGAATCTCCAGGCGATCTTAAATTACCAGAAAGCTGGAAGGACTGATTTTGGTGATTTTTAAAATGTTATTTGCTGTAGAGTGCCTCCTATACTTGAAATCTCTCCTAGAAAGGAATTCTAAAGGCCAGAGCTGACGCTGTAGCAAAAATGTATTCACAGCACCACTCCTGCGAAAGTCAGGCCTCGGCGCTCTCCCGCGCCTGCCCAGGCTCCGGGGCCGCGTGATGAACGATGATGCTGGTGGACAAATGGGAAGTAAACAGCACACACGAGCTCATTTCAACCTCCATTAGATGCACAAGGGGGAGAAAATCAATGTTTGACAAATGAAAATGACAGAATCAGTAAGGGGAGACATTTATTTTCCATTTTCTAGGAGGCCTTTGCACACAATGGACTGTTAAAACCAGGAAAAATAACCAATGAGAACACACTCAATAGGCTCTATGTAAAATACATTATCACCAACTACAAATGTAGAACAGAGATGAATTGCCTTGTTTGTTCAAAAGACATGTAATGGTTTCTTTAATTTAGGGTAGGTCGTTTTCGCCTTTGAGACTTGATTACACTTTGGAAAGAAGATATGCGCGCGAATTGAGCTACCGACCTGAGGGTCTCACTACCTTTAGTGGACAGGCAGATCATTCTCTCATCCACTCATTCATTCATTCCTTCACTCATTCATGCATGCAGCAAACGTTTATCAAACACCCACAATTGCCAGGCATTCCAGGGCTGAAGGATGGAAGTATTAATTCCCTGGGGCCTTGAGAGGAAACAGAAAAATAGCAAAAAACAGCTTGAGGTGCTGAAGGTCCCAGTAGAGGGAGCTAGGGGGCGGGGGAGGGGGGGGCGGGGGGGAGCGCACAGGTTTTCCATCCTGTGGAGTATCTTCAACAATGGTGCTGCCCTAATAGACAGTAGCATGCTAATGAGAGAGCAGCATGCTAATGAGGGACCAGCAAACGCTCCTCCCTCCTTTCCATTATGGACAGCAGTGGTGGGCGGAAGTCACAGTGGATGGTGGCTAGGAACTCTCATGCCTGCCGTACTTTGCATAGACCAGGGACACACTCAGTGCCTCCGGTGACAGCGTCCGGCCGGCCTGCGGGAGACACCGCCTCTGAGTCGCTGTTTATAAACTGACCCACCAGGGAGCAAAGCAACCACTCCCTGCTCAGTGCACTAAGGACCTTACTCAGACTTCCCTTACTTCTTCGTTAAATAACAACCAGGCTAACTGTGATGAAGTAGAAGCAAACACCAAGTCAAGCTGCATCTCTGAAACTTACTAACAGCGTTACTTGAAGAAAATAAATGTACCCTTTCATTGAACACCATCATTTTCATCCATAAAATGGGAATAATAGGACTCCACTCACAAACCCCTGTGAAGGTCAGAGAAGACGGCGTGTGCACCTGTGCCAGGGCCTGGCGTCTGGAAGATGCACGTTAAGTTGCTGACGGATCAGATGGAAGACATCCGCACACTTGCTTCTCCCTCTTGTCTCCTGGCTGTGCATCTCGCTCTCGCTCTTTCCTGATGAGAGGTCTTTGAGAGCAGGCAGTGTTCGGCCCCTCTCCTGGGATCACAGAGTCTGCAGGAAAAATGGTGGAGAGGTCAATGGATGGCAACCTTGGTTCCAGGACTTTCTTTCCTTGAATCATCATTCCATCTGCACTGAAGTTGTTGCAGATGGCATTCTTATTTTTGAAACACATCTATCTGTTCAATGTGAAATTATGGCATTTTTACGGATTGTTTGTGAGAAGAGGTAAATAATAAGTAGCTATAATAATACCTGGGCACATTCAAAAAGAGTTTAGACGCAGTAGCATACCCTTCCCAAAGTAAGCCTCCCTGAGGAAATGTGCTGCAGACTGATGAGGCTGGGAAGAGAGAGAATTAAACGGCAACATTTTAAAAATAAGTGCCTGTTGTAACCGGTAAGCTGATCCTCATAAAACTAACGAAGCCACATCACTTAGGGCTCCAGAGGAGAGCAATTTAGAATCACTCGATGGCATTTCCATTCAATGTACCAAGTTGCAGTCTCATTTACACTTTTCTATGACAGGAGCATAGACAACCCTGAGAGGAAAGGCACGAATGGGCTAAACCCATTCTCCCGGGCGTGGGAGGGTAATTTACCTCAATTCCTTAGCACTGGCGGTGAATCTGTCTGCCTCCCTTAAGCTTTTTGAAGGTGCTGACAGGTTGGTCCTAAGCTTGGCCCAGGGTTCAGCGTAGCCTCTGTGGATGCCGACTTGTGGCTCAGTGAGCCGTTTTACACAGTACAAATCATTAAACAGCATGTGTTATATATTTTCGGATGTATGTCTATAACATTAGGATGTGTACATGGGTAATTCTAGCCAAAGGGGGATGGGAGTGACTAGAACATCCTCGGCAGCAGTGCAGGCCCTGACAGGGCCGCCCGGCGGTCCATGGTAGAAGAGGCCGCTTCCATGTGTACCAGTCATCATGCTTTGCCCGATAATTACTAGCACATAGACAAGTCCTTCCTGCCTTAACTAAATGTAAGGATCCAAGTTCAATGTTAGCATTAGTTCCTTTAGGTCTGAATGTTAACAAATGCTATCCTACTCCTTTATCACTTGCCACACATTTATTGAGAGCATCTACTATGTCTTAGACATTGTGTTAGAAACTGAAGAAACAGTATTTTTAAAGTGAGAAAATAGTTTATTAAAAGTAAAATTAATGTGAAATATAAATATATTTCAGATGGATCCCCATGAGCTAGCAAGGCACTACAGGAGTTCTACAAAATTTCAGGTAGGTGACTTACAACCTCAAAATTATTCAAGCAACCCACTGCCATTTTACTTTTTTAAGTCCCACCGTACATTTCTACCTGAAAACCTGCTTCTTTCACAACTGTAGCCTTGGGGACAGTTTGCACAGGTGAGGTTTATCCGACAGGGGCGACTGAGGTGGCTCCCCAGGGGTGCACATGTGCTTCCTCGGGGTGCAGATGTGTCGCTCCACATGGGGTCCTTATCCGCAGAACAGAAGGTTAGGGCCACACTGACTCTCGGATTTTGACGACAGTAGGGAGTGTGGCTGAGCTTTGTCCTGCCGGCACGGAATGCTGGCCTCATTCATGTGCCATGATGACGTAGGAGCCTACACAGTTACTCCTACTCCTCTTTCTTTCTTGTTCTGTATGAAAATAAGAAATAGAGGAGAAGTGAGTAGTTAAGTGACACGGCATGGCCTCTGCCTTTCCTCCAATGGCAGCTTAATCTTGTTTTTCACCCACAATCGTGTACAGCCAAGCGCTTGTTACCTCCCATCCGTTCCCCCTCACTGTGACACACAGGCGGGCATTTGGGGGTCACCCAATGTCACCCAATCTGGAGGAGTGAACTCCAACCTCCCATTTCAAGGACAGCACTTTAGTGGCCTCAAATTTTGTTTTAAAAAGAGTACAAATCTGGGTTTGGGTGCCAAATTGTCTCACGTGGTGATGTGTGGTGATTAAAATGCCTTTCCGTGTGTTTTTATCTCCAGCTCATTTTCTTTGTAAACAAGGCCGCCTGCTCAGACTCACTCGTTAAAAAGCTGCTCCACGTGGCTCACTCTCCCGAGAGGACCGTCCCCTCTCTAAGTGCCCCAGGCTCACTCCACACTCATCACTGTCGTGACTGTGATGAGGGGAAATTTACTCGTATTTAATTGGGTTGATAACGATAAATTGTTGCGTTTCTTTAGTTGTGGTCGCTCCTGCTTTCACCTGCCCTGAGCCCTCCCTGCTCACTGGGCACGGTGTAGAGGCACCTTTGTGCTTGGTGACTGCGCTCTCGGCCTGGTAGCTTCTGAGGACAGACGAGCATCTCAGCCTGGTCACCCAGGCTTTGCAGGTGCCGTGCACAGTGCACGGTGCTGGTCAATACCACTCAGTTCACATCATCGAGAAGTGAGTCATCACACGACTCCCCACACATGTCAACATCGACCAGGACTAGGGCCCGGCTGCTGAGAGAAGTCAGGTGGGCAGGTGGATAGTCAGCGAGTAAAAGAGCTTCATTCGGACAGATCGGGTTTTTACAGGTTAAAAAAAAAAAAAAAGATGATTAGGGCCCAGCCAGTGTGGTTCAGTGGTGAGCATTGACCTATGGACCAGGAGGTCAGGGTTTGATTCCTGGTCAGGGCACATGGCTGGGTTGTGGGCTCCATCCACAGTGTGGGGCATGCAGGGGGCAAATGATCAATGATTCTCTCTCATCATTGATGTTTCTCTCTCCCCCGTTCCCTTCCTCTCTGAAATCAGTAAAAGCATATTTTTTTAAAAAGATTCATATGATCTGAACGAGAAGGCACAGCAGCTGGGGCAGCGCCGCCTTTCTCACTGGGGAGATGTTAGCAGCTGCTGCTTCACCCGCAGCTGGTCCTGAGGCTCAGCCTCTGCCGGTAAAGCCCAGGATTTGATCATCCAACGCCATTTGCAAACCAGAACTGTCAGTAACTGGTTTCTAATAGCCCGTGGGGTCCACGCGAACCGGAAGTGCCTCTGCTCTTGGGGAGCACAGCCGCCCTGAAGTGCTGGCCCAGCTCAGCGCCTCCCCTTCCATACGGTGGCCCCACAGGACGCTTTCCCTGCCCTTAATTGTCTTAAATAAATAACTTTTAATGTACCCACTTTTCAGTGTCACGTGAAAACTAATGAAAGCGAATGATCCTCTTACGTAGAGAAGTGTGTCATCGTGCGATCGGGCAGGCCCTCAGGAATGATGCTGTCATTCAGCATTGCCAGGGAGGGAGGCCAGGGCATACAAACGCAGGACAGACCGAAGCTGCACGTGTTGGTGACCCGCACTGCAACGCCCTCTCCCGCCGCCACGCCGGTGGCTGGAAACCGCCCGATTCCTCCTCCCGCTCTGCACAGCCGGCGCACAGCTCCCGCCCGGGCCCTGTGTGATCCCAGGTAGACAGGCAGGAAGCACGGAGGTGGCCACCTGGGCCCGCACCGTCATCAGCGTGAGCACCGCACAACTGGCTGGAACAGAAACATGTCACTGCAGGGAGTGTGCAGGGCTTTCTAAAGTCAGGAACAGACTTGCTTTTCAGTCCCGGAGCCCCGTGTTTAAAACTGGTAAAGTGTAGTCCTGCATCAGTAACCACGCCACCTCCACAAGACCTGCGCGGGTGCAGGCGTCCCTGGAGCTCAGAGGGTGCGGCCCCCAGGGAGGGCTCAGAGGCTGAGGGGAATGGAGCACCTGCGTGGGCTGCAGCATAGCCACCTTGTCTCCATGGGCTGTTGCTTCCAGCGGCACCACGTGTTTAACTGCAGGCAGTTTTGTGTTAAGCACACAGAACGGTGATGGTGGCTGTCAGCTTCTACACACGTGGGTATAACCCACGTCCAAAAAGCACGTGGACACGACATAACCGCACACGCGTTCTCCCAACAGCTGGATGTGGCGTCAGTGATCCCATTGGATGTGTTTGGCCTCTTCTTTGGCTTTAATCCAATATTTAGGATAAACAGGATATTGAAGGTGAGCTATCTCTATTGATGTTCTTACTTGTAATTGTCTGGTTTTAATTATGGGAATCTTGAAGTGATTTAAAAGATCCTAAAAGTACAATGTTCTTCCTTTACCCAAACTGTGCTCCGTTTTTTTGTCCTCATCATTGCTATGAATTTTAAAAACTCAGTGAAGGAAAAACATCATTGCATCCACTGCTGGGAGCTGCTCTTGCTGTTTTCATTCTGTATCTCATAGCAGGTGTTTTATAACTGGAACAGGAATGCTTTGGTCTTCTACACACAACTATAGTTACAAATGAGTCTCATAATTTTATTCTTTTCCATTCGTCCTTTTTGCTTAGACAGTCGCTGAATGCCTGGAGTACTGGCTGTGAAAGGAGAGAGTCCAATCAGACAAACCTCCCAGCTCTTGTACTCACCCAAAATTCTGTAATCCCAGAAAAATGCAGACATACTTTTCCATACAAAATTATTTACATAACATTGGGACAGCTCAAATGTCCATTAACAGGGAACTAGTTAAATAAATTGTGGTATCCTATCTAATAATAGACAAACATGGTAATTAACCATACCTCCGCTATGCTTCCCATTGGCTAATCAGGGCAATATGCAAATTAACTGCCAACCAAGATGGCGGCCGGCAGCCAGGCAGCTGAAGCGAACAGGAGGCTTGCTTGCTCCAGTGATGGAGGAAGCCAAGGTTCCCCGCCTGCCGCTGCCAGCCTCTGAGCTGCACTCTAAGAAACAATGTTGCAATTATAGAAGCTAAACAAACCCCAGAAACCTGCTTTCAGCCAGCCGGGCCTCAGAGCTGGAGCTGCAACAGTGTTTCAATTATAGAAGCCAAACAAACCCAGATACCTGCTTTCAGCAGCCGAGGTCTCAGAGCTGGAGCTGAGCCTCAGAGCTAAAGCCGGCTCTCAGCTCCAGTGACAGCCATAGAATCCCAGAATAAAAAGAAAAAAGAAAAAAAGGAGAGGTTGGGAGCTTCAGTCACCTGCCAGCCTGAAAACGGCCCTCAGCCCCTCAACCAGACTGGCCAGGCACCCCAGTGGGGATCCCCACCGTGAAGGGGGTGTGACCAGCTGCAAACAGCCATCATCCCCTCATCCAGGCTGGCCAGGCACCCAAGCGGGACCCCCACCCTGATCCAGGACACCCTTTAGGGCAAACCAGCCGGCCCCCACCCGTGCACCAGGCCTCTATCCTATATAGTAAAAGGGTAATATGCAAACTGACCCTAACAGCAGAAGGACTGGGAATGACTGGTCACTATGACACACACTGACCACCAGGGGGCAGACGCTCAATGCAGGAGCTGCCCTCTGGTGGTCAGGGCGCTCTCACATGGGAGGGGCTCTGCTCAGCCACAAGCCAGGCTGACAGCTGCCAGTACAGTGGTGGTGGTGGGAGCCTCTCCTGCCTCCTCAGTAGCACTAAGGATGTCCGACTACAGCTTAGGCCTGCTCCCCGCTGGCAAGTGGACATCCCCCGAGGGCTGCCAGGCTGCCAGGCTGCCAGAGGGATGTCTGATTGCCATCTTAGGCCCAATCTCCCGGGGAGCGGGCCTAAGCCAGCAGGTGGTCATCCCCTGAGGGGTCCCAGACTGCGAGAGGGCACAGGCCGGGCTGAGGGACCCCCCCTCCCCCGAGTGCACAAATTTTTGTGCACCGGGCCTCTAGTATCTATATAATAGAACACACTTTGTAATGCAAAAATAAATAAACAAAGAGGAAGTTTTCCATGAACTGGTATGAAAAGACCGCCAAGAAAAATTGCTGAGTGAAAAACAAGCTAGTTACAGAACAGTGTATATAACAATACTAACTTCTATAAAACAGAAAGTGAAAATATGCCGTTTTTCTGAGTACATGTAAACAGTGGAAGGCTACAGAAAAATCTAGTGAAAATGTTAGCAGGTGGGGTGGGAGGCGGGGGAACAGGGATGGACTCGTGAAGGGATGTACTTGCTACTGTTTGAGTGTGTAAGTGCATTACCTGTTCTAAAGATTCTAAGACATAAATATTTTATAACTCTTAGCTTCATAGGGTAACTAACACAAATATGGGGAGAGTCCGGGTCTGGAATTTCGTGTAAATCATTAGCCAAAGCAAGAATAGCTATTTCCAAAGACAGCCTCTTAAGAGGAAGGCCAGAGGTTGTGTAGACCTCGGTGGGGCTCGTGCGGATGCTGGTTCCAGGGACAGCAGCCGTGGCAGACGCGGGAGCAGATACTTGGGCTCTGCTTCGCTAACCTGGATATTCATTCCCTGCTGGTTCTTCCGAATGACTTCGTGTAGCGGCGAGGAAATGAGAACTAGCGGGTGGAACAGTCTGTCCCAGTGCTGTGCTGAGCGGGGGACCTGGGCTCCTCTCAGGCTTCCCGACCAGACTCCACCTCCAGGCCCACGGTCTCTCCAGTAGAGAGGGAAACAGCCTCAGGCCCTCAGGACAGCTCTAGATGGCGAGTCTGGCCTGACCAGGAATGCGGCCTGGGGGGCCGATGCCTCACACCCAGCACCAGGCGGGCAGGCCATCCCTTTCCCTTCTCAGGTGAGAGTATCAGGAAGCTCCTGTTCAGAGGTGACCAACGTTCAGACACGCAGGCCATGTGTTTGGGAGTTCAGCTGGCAGTGCAATAAAAGTGTGTAAAGTGCCAGCGCTTCCCACCCATCCCTGTGTCCCTAAGGGATCCAAAATCCGTCCATATTCAAAAGCTTTTTTAATGTAGGACATTCTGAAAGTCAGCATTGGTCTTTTTTCTGTAGCCCCATGGTCCAGTCATTTCACATATAAGTGAGTCATTTTGATGCACAGTTCTCTGGGGAAAATATTGTTTATCTGTCTCCAATTGAGAAACACTAAGAATATAAATTTTCACTTCAGTGATCACTTAAACTAACTTTTAAACCATGTCTTTGTGCAAACTTCTGTTAAGAGCACCATAAGCACCATTACTATTATGTCTGTTTTTTAATTCCAAATGTTCTACTATAGTCCGATATACATTGGATGAAATTTTGAACTAAAAAATCTTCAAACTAAATAACCCCTAATAGTCCCTCCTAGCTATAGGATCCTGTGATTCTCAGCAAAGCAAATAATTAAATACATTAACTGGGTATGCACACAACCTCTTCAAGAGACATGTTCTTTTATTGTCCCATTTTACAGATGAGGAAACTGAGGCACAGAAATGTTAAGTGACTTTTCCAAGGTCCCACGGTTAGCAAAGGGCAGAGGTGAAGTCTTACTCCCACATTCCTCTGCCTCAGGTAGTAAAGGAGGAGGTGGACGAGGCATGCGTGTAGGGTGGGTGAGTTGAGGTAGAAGTAGATGGAAGCAGGAAAGAACCTCAAGGGAAATAGCCACTCTGTTTGGATTTGACATGTGTAAACTCACTGTCTCTTTAAACAATGTCATGAATTGCTAACTGATGCCAATATTTACTAGACTTGAAATTTTGTTGAAATTAAACACATTTAATGGAACTTGTTTAGGAGCAGTGCTAGCTCCGAGCCTCAGGATCGGCATCTATTTATGACTTCAGTGTGTATCCTCTTCCTCTTTCACGGATGTTCTAGGGGAGTGTGATTTTAATTCTTGTAAAATAGAGTTCTACTCTATGCTTTATAAAGAAACAGGAAAAATGCTTTTAAGCTTGATTTTCATTAGCATTAGGAACAAGACTAACTAGAGGGTGGAAGTCCAATAAGCCAGGAGCTGTGGAAGTTGGTTAGGCACTATGCTAAGTGACCCTAGAGGAAAATCCACTGAACAGATGCTAGTTTTTTGTGTGTGTTTTTAAGACATGTAGATGGGATTATTTTGAATGACAAAAAAATGTGTGTCATATAGTTTTATTTAAATAGGTGTCTTTAAGACTAACACACTTTGGGATTTCCTCTGCTTGTTTTCTATATAGTACAGGTCATTCTTTGAGTTTAATCACCGCCTGGAATCGATTATGAACAGAGCGTATATCTACAGGTAAGATGGGGTCAACCATGGACAGGGCGTATATCCACAGGTAAAATGGAGTTGATCATGGACAGGGCGTATATCTACAGGTAAGATGGAGTCGATCATGGACAGGGCGTTTATCTATAGGGAAGGCAGAGTCGATCATGGACCATGGACAGGGCATATGTATACAGGTAAGGCGAGCTCAGTGTTTGTTGGCTGGAAGAGAAGGCAGGGGTACATTTCAGATGGAGGAATGTGACCTCCTGCAAAAAGAAGGGATCATCTTGGATTTTGGCTACATAACATGTCAGGTTATGTTCTAAAACAGACTTGAATATATTCTGAAGTGAGATGAGAGTATGGAAATTATACTGCCTAAAAGTGAGAGTGTAATTCACACCAGAGTCTGATAACTGTTTTTGTCAAATAGGACTAAAAAATAGGCCAAATTCCCGGCTTCCATCAGAACAAGTACAAATAACTGTGCTCAGTCACAGGCTGACTTCCCGTCTCCCTCAGACAACTCATTGTCAGCCGAGTTTCATCCATTTTCTCCACTGACACTCCCGTGCATCGAGACCTCCAGCCACAGTTAATCATAGCAGGAAACCGGCGAGCTTTCCCAAGGTTAAGTCAGCGCGGCTATTTCATGGGACTTGAGGTGGACAGGTGACCCTGGGGCACGTCTTTAGGGAGCAGATCCATAGCATCTGCAGAAAGAGAGGGAGGTTTTTACTCTGTCAGTGCTCGTCGGGACACCGCAGTCAGAGAACGTGCCTGGCTCCATCCTGTCACACTGCCGCCTGGGAGTTAACGCCCAGATTTGGAGCAAAGAGACTCGGCGGCAATGGTCAGAAGAAGGAACCACTAGCCAGGCTGCGCTCGGAACAGCCCGTGTCCCTGCTCTGCTGTCCCCCACAGGGTCGCTCGGACGGCGGGCTGCTTGCTGTTTGCTCTGCACGTGAATGCCTGCATCTACTACTGGGCTTCCAACCACCAAGGCATCGGAACCACCAGATGGGTGTACAATGGTGAAGGAAACATGTGAGTTTTCACTTTGAAGAAAACTTTTATTGCCTTCTTCACTTTCTGTTTCAGTGTAAGAGTCTTGTAAAGCCAGTGTTTTTGAAACTGTAAGTCACAACCCATCAGTGGGCAGTGAAAACGCTTTAACGGGATATTTTCCATGAAAGAAGGTCAAGTAGAGGAGGACAGAATAGGAAATATCAGAGTCTGTCATATCTAGTAGGGGTGCGCATGTGTGTGCATGTGTGTGTGTATACATGTATGCATGTGTGTGTCCATGTGTGCACACGTGTGTGTGCATGTGTTCACATGTGCGTGCTCATCCTGTGCTGACCCAGGAAGTGCATTTCTTACTCTGCATCATGACCAAACAAGTTTGGAAGCCTCTGCCTCAGACAGCTGAGGGCCAAGTAACGTTCAGTCACTCGGTGCGGATCTTTAGGAGTGAACTGTGTCAGTTGTTTGGGGTGCAGGGGAGGGCTCATTAGTTGACCACCGAAGGGTTATATGGGTTATGGGTCAGCTATGACCACTCACTCAAACACTCAGAGAGTCACAAGGACTTTGTTCAACTTGATGATTAGACAGGCAGGACCCCAGGAGAAAGAGGTCACCTGACAGTGTCAGGGAGCGGAGTCGGGACTCAGTGATGGCACCAGGGTACTCACAGTGAGACTCCCTGGGGGCAGACACAGGGCCCGGCTCAGTCCCCTCCACTCGCTTTCTGCGCCAGTGAAACGACATTAGAGGCAACGTCCTTGCCGGAAAGAGCAGCCCCAGCGTGGCTCTGATGGGCAGCCCACGCGGCCCTCGGGAGGAAGGCAATGACCGATGCCGCAAACAAGGGAGACACCTCACCGCTCACACGCCACCTACAGAGAGTAGGACGCGTGTAAGGGATTAGAGCAACAATTTTGAACTTTTAACCCAAACTGATTTTATTTTTTTATTTATTTTATTTTTTTTTATTTTTTTTAATAATTTTTATTTCTTAAAGTATTACAAAGAGTATTACATATGTCTCCTTTCCCCCCCCCCTTGACATTCCCCCAGCCTCCCCTACCCCCTAGTGTCTTGTGTCCATTGGTTATTCTTATATGCATGCATATAAGTCCTTCGGTTGATCTCTTAACTCCCCCCCCAAACCCTCCCCAGGCTTCCCACTGTAGTTTGACAGTCTGTTCAATGCTGCTCTGCCTCTGCATCTACCCCTGTTCATCAGTCTATACTGGTCCCCATTATCCGTTTCAACCTCACCAGGGCCGTCCCGACCTCACCGGGGCCGTTTTGGCCTCACCAGGGCCGTCCCGACCTCACCAGGGCTGTCCCGACCTCACTGGGACTGTCCTGACCTCACCGGGGCCGTTTCAACCACACCGGGGCCATTTCGGCCTCACCAGGGCCGTCCCAACCTCACAGGGCCGTTTCAGCCTCACCAGGGCCGTTTCAACCTCACCGGGGCCGTCCCGACCTCACCGGGGCCGTTTTGGCCTCACCAGGGTCATCTCGACCTCACCGGGGCCGTCCCGACCTCACCGGGGCCATTTTGACCTCACCGGGGCCGTCCCGACCTCACTGGTGCTGTCCCTACCTCACCGGGGCCGTTTCAACCTCAACGGGGCCGTCCCAACCTCACCGGGGCCGTCCTGACCTCACCGGGGCCGTCCCGACCTCACCAGGGCCGTTTCAGCCTCACCGGGGCCATTCCAACCTCACTGGGGCCGTCTCGACCTCACCGGGGCCGTCTCGACCTCACCGGGGCAGTTTCAACCTCACCGGGGCCGTATCGACCCCTCCGGGGGCATCCCGACCTCACCGGGGCCGTCCCAACCTCACCGGGCCATCCTGGCCTCACCGGGGCAACACGAAGTTTGGCACTCTGTCCCCTGCCGGGCGGCTCCCCGCCAGACACAATCTGCAGGCATTCCTGGTGGCTGAACATCCAGCACACCTGCTTGGACTTTGCCCTCCACCAAGTGCACAGACTGCCCTTCTGCAGTCCCCCAGCGAGACTGGAACCGGTGGACCTGCTTGTGCGCCTGCTGTTACAGCGGTTCCACCTTGCCGGCCCAGCCGGCCTGGGCCCGGCCTCCCCCGAACCCAACTCCGCCCCCCGAACATGTCCCTCCCGGATGCGAGGAGCCAAAATCTGCAGCCTGCTGGGTTGGGCTCTGTACTTGGTGCCTCTGCACATCCTACTCAGTCTCAATGCTCTTCTTTCTTTCCTTCCAGTTGTAGAGCTTCCACTGGGCCAGCTTTCCCATGGTTCCGTATGATAGCTGTTTGTCCTATAGTTGGTAGTTTCGATGTTGTTGTGGGAGGCAGCACGCACAGGTCTGTACCTTACGCCGCCATCTTGGTTCTCCTGGGTCTGCTTCTTGAGTGTGTTTCCCATGGGTGCGAGGAGTTGAAGTCTGCAATTTGTTGGGTTAGGCTGCAAAAGCACAGGTGGGTTTTTTGTGCCACTGTCACAGTTTGGATGGGGATGTAAATTGAGTAGGGCGGGGTCTCAGGGAGTCACCGGGGTGGGGCAAATAGCAATGGCGTCTCTGCAGCTCCTCGCCTCTCTGGGACTCTGGGACTTCGCGTCCCCCAGTGCCAGCGAGCAGCTGCGTGACAGAGCCTCCCTCGCTTTTCAACCGCTGCAAGGCCATGCCGCCTCTCCCCGTGGGGCCTGGGGCCTCAGAGACCCGCCCCGAGCAAGCCCAGAGGATTCGAGAGTTCGTAACCCCTTCCGATTGAAAAAAGCCACGCATCCAGTTGCAGCCCGCCTGGCTCGCGACTCTGTACATGTTCTTGGCGCCTCTGTAGCTCCCACTCAGTCTCACTGCGCTTCTTTCTTTCCTTCCAGTTGTAGAGCTTCCACTGGGCCAGCTTTCCCATGGTTCTGAATGGTGGTTGTTTGTCTTATAGTTGGTAGTTTCAATGATGTTGTGGGAGGCAGCACGCACAGGTCTACACCCTATGCCGCCATCTTGGTTCTCCCAAACTGATTTTAAAAATTTAAAGTCAGAGGCCCACTTATTAGGAAAGCACACGTACACACACACACAGACACACAAACACACAGGCACACCAACACCCAGAATATCCCATGAAAGTTTACAGCCAGATCTATAAGTAATTCCCTTTAGCATGTGAATTAACTTAAGTAGGTATTTAGTTTATTATAAACAACGAATTTATATAGGAAACTGAGTAAGGTACCAACTCTAGTAAATATTGCCTAAAAGTGAGTGTATAATTCATGCCAGAGCCTGAATCAGCGAGCTAGTACAGAGCTGCACCGGAACTACTTCTGCTGGGCGAAAGTGCGCTAACATCGGACTTCTGATCCCAGCCGTGGTGCAAGCCGCATGTCCACAGGGCCCATCTCTAAAACTCAACAAGCTCCATTACTTGTAATGTTTGTTGTTTGTGATTACTAGATCATTTGTGATCACAACTGCTTTCAATTATTGCAAAATTGTAAGAAGGATCGAAAAGTCTACCAAACAGCTGTGTGTGCTGAGGCCAGAGCAGGTGGCGAGACGCCACCGGGAACAAAAACAAGGACAGCGTCTTCCTCCGGAGAAGGGACAATAGGATCAGAAAACTAAAAAACAGAATCGGTCAAAAAAGAATGGACCAAATTCACCAACCAAAAGAGATTGTCAATATCAGCCCAATAAGCTTTAAAACAAAAATAATTTTAGAAAAAAGAATGTCACCATATAACCGTAAAAGTTTCAATTCCCCATTAATATATCCCAATTCTAAATGGTATGCACTTAATAAAATACTTATAATAAATCAGAGAAACTCATATAGCAAAAATGAATACAAGGAAGAGAAATCAGCAAAAACACCATCAAAGTGTGGACGGTGACACGTGACTGTTGATTGGTCTGAAACAGTGGTTCTCAACCTTGGCTGCACATTAGAATCACCTGGGAATCTTTTTAAAATCCTGATTTCTGGGCCTCATCCTTTGGAAATTCTGTTTCTTTGTTATGGGGTGGGGCCACAACATTAGTAACAAAGAAATAGAATTTCCGGAAGATGAGGCCCAGAAATCAGGATTTTAAAAAGATTCCCAGGTGATTCTAATGTGCAGCCAAGGTTGAGAACCACTGGTCTGAAACAAGAACAGTTAGTGAGGACAGAAAACGTGAGAACGTAGCTGACAGGCTGGATTCAATGGCTGTAAATGGAACCTTGCACGGAATAATTAGAAACCACCTGTTCCTCTTACTGCCTCACAGAAGAATTACAAAAGGGATCACTCCCTAGCCAGGAAGCAGGTCTCACACTTCCCAGCAGCGGTTCCCCCCAGCCACCTCCGTGAAGGCAAGCACTGCCTTTCCCCCCAGGCGCCGACACTGCTGTGTAGCCAGGAGACTCTCAGAACCAAAGCTTCCCATCCCGGGGCCAGCCAGGGCACGGGTTGCCGTCCTACGGAGAAATGCCTCTAGCAGCGGCATGCTCACATATTCCAGGACAATCTGCATGGGGCCCTTAGGGGCATGGCTGCTCCTTCTGTGGTGTGTGATGACCCCTAAATGGAAGGGTGCTCCCGAGGCCACTGGGCTGGTAAACTTTGCCCTCGCGAGGACCAGGCGGCAGACTGTGACCTAAGTCGGCGCAGGGCACATTTAAAATAGAACCAAGTTTGCTGCTGCCCCGTGAACCCTCACCAGACTGACACCGTGCGCTTCAAGAAGAGACAAGAAGTCCCTTCCATTTGTATGGTGAGAGGGCATCCTGCCTTAGAAAGCTCAGGGGCAAGGACAGGGCTTAGCCAAGGGAAAGCATGACCAGGTAAGGTTCCCTGGTTCCCCTGAATACATATATTTATTTCTCTTCTGACATAAACTCCCCAATATGCCCAAAGCTCTCAGCACACCCCAAGCCCCGATGCCTAGCACACGGGTCTTCACAGGAAAGGGGAGCGCCAGGGTCCCCTGGGGACGACGGCGGAGGACGTGAGGAAGGGTTGCCGCCCGCCGGGGGCTGGGGAAGCCGAGGGTAACAGCCCTGTCTCTCACAGGAGACGCAGGCCCAGGTCCGTGAGGGCGTCTCCCCGGAGTCCCCCAGATACTTCAGCTCAGACCCTGGCCAAAGCCCAGGTAGACCAGCCTTTACCCAGACACGCGGCCCCTTCAGATGCAATCAGACCACCAGGCTGCAGAGTTCCGTGAGCAGAGGGAGGCGGAAGCACTGGGTCACTACGCTAATCCTAGAATATCCGTAAGATACCACCTAATTAAGTTACAAATCTTACCTTTGGTTGTGCATGTCTGGATATAAGACATGACAGAAAAGAATCCTCAAATCCCAGGGCATCAGGGCAGAAAACCTCCAATTAGCACACAGACTATTCATACACACACAATAGTGTAAGCCAGCGCCTGAGCTGCACAGGGGAGCGGTATTTAACATGGAAAACAAGAAAACGAGAGAGTAATTCACATGCTTGTCCCTGCTCGCACCGGGTGACGGAGGAGGGCACGGGAGTCCCGACACGTGTCGGAGCGGGTCACACAGGGAGGGGAGCCGGCCCTCCCCACTGCTGGGCAGTATTGGCTTCAGGGGACACAGACCAGAGGGTGATGAGGGCCTGGGGTGGGGGCGGGATGGGCTAGAAGAGGTCAGTGGGGCAGAGGGGACATATGTAATACTTTCAACAAGAAAAATTTAAAAATAAAGTTCCTTAATTTAAAAAGACACATAGGTGCAGGTAACAGGAAATGATAAATTTGAAAGTTAAAACGCAATCCATAAAATTCATCCCATACTTCTTCAAGCTGGTTCTCTTTAACATCCAAGTTCACTGTGATAGTACTAAGCCCAAGGAAGCTGCTGGAAGAAATTGCAGTGATGGCATCTTCACCCTCTTGGCACAGTGGTTTCCAACCTACCAATGACTCATTGCCTTTCTCTTCCTATATCTGCCAAGTTACAAAAACAAACAAACAAAAAAACCCACAACTCAAGTACTTCAAAAGGTATTGAATTTCAAAATGAGTGATTTCTTTCTAGATCTGGTGAAAATTCCAAGCTTCACCCTGGCCAGATAGCTCAGTTAGTTTAGAGCATCGTCCCCATACGCCAAAGGTGCAGGCTCAATCCCCAGTCAGGGCACATACAAGAATCAACCAACGAATGTATGAATCAAGGGAACAACAAATGAATCTTTCTCTCCCTCCCTTCCCCTTTCTCTCTCTAAAAATTAATCAATAAAAATGAAATGAAATTTAAAGCCTTCAAAAAAATTTTTTAAAGAACATTCCAAGCTTCTAATCATGGCGTGGACCTTCCAGTGACCAGCCTCATCCAGGAGCCCACCCAGAGTCACCTCCTTAGGACAAAGAAACACCCCTGTCGCCCAGGAAATCACAGGTGTCAGGAGCCCTGACCCAGGAGCCGGGGTGGAGACCAGTCTGTGTCTGCTAATACCTCCCAGCGCTCCAAGCAGACAGAGCAGAGGACCAAGCAAGGCACAGGATCCAGGCCCAGACACCTGGCCTCAGTCAAGTCTTTCCAGCTCTCTCCAGCACCCTGCCCCCCCGGGGCCCACTCCTCACGGGCACAGAGGACCCATCTCTGCTGGGCTTGGCATGAGTGCCTGGGCCACAGAGTATGAGCCTAACGAGATAGTTGTTGGTTTATAGCATCACATTTTGGAGTGATTTGTTTTGCAGCAAGAGATAAGAGGAACCGCTTAGTAGACACCCTCCTTGGGTTTGTTGCATCATTTCACAACGTTTATCAATAGGTGACATTAGCCCCAGCTGGGTGGCTCAGTTGGTTGGGTGTCCTTTGTGCACTGAAAGGTTACTGGTTCAATTCCTGCTCAGGGCACTTGCCCAGGTTTCAGGCTAGATCCCTGGAAGGGGGCATGCAGGAGGCAGCTGATCCATGTTTCTCTCTCTCTCTCTCTCTCTCTCTCTCTCTCTTTCTCTTTATCAATTTTTTAAAAATGTCTCTGTTAATCCTCACCTGAGGATATTTTCCCATTGATTTTTTGAGAGAGTACAAGGGAGGGAGGGGGAGAGAGTGAGAGAAAGAGAGAGACACACAAACATCGATTAGTTGCTTCCCACAGGTTCCAGGGATGGAACCTGCAACTGAAGTACATGCCCTTGATCAAGAATCTAACCCAAGACCCTTTGTTCCATGGGCCGACACTCTAGCCACTGAGCAAAACTGGCCAGAGCAAAATATCTCTATATATAAAAGGCTAAGCAACCATCCAACCGTCCAACCAGTAGCTATGATGTGCACTGACCACCAGGGGACAGACGTTCAACACAGGAGCTGCCGAGCTGTGGTGACTTGGCAGAGGCGGTTCTCAGGTGATGCACCCCGAAACCAGAGAGGAGGGAGTCCGATTCCAGGGTGTGTCACCTGAGAACTGCCCTCTCGAAATCTGGGACCCCTTGGGGGATATCAGAGAGCCAGTTTCAGCCTGATCCCTGCAAGCCAGGCCGAGGGACCCCACCTGCTGGAGGGACCCCGCTCACTCCGCAGACACCCTTCGAGCCACACGGCCGCCCCAGGTGCAGCCAGCCAGCCAAGGAGGGACTGCAGGAGGTTGGCTCCAGGGTGTGTCCAACCCATCTCACCCAGTCCCACCCTGTCAGCCACCTTCTAATTAATTTCCTTTCAATGTGCACGAATCCATGCACCAGGGCACTAGTTTAAAATAAGAAGAAGAAGAAGTTGACATTAGAACATGTGATACTTCCCAATGCTGCCGTGGAAAGAAATCTTGATCAGGAGGATGTGTGTTATAATGTGGTGGCGATCTATGTTCCCAAGCACAGTGATATTTTAATGTTAGAGTAGAAAGCAAAATGTGTATTTTCTCTTTTCTCAGGTATCTGAGATGTTATTACTGGGCAGTCCGAAGTTTGATTACCATTGGGGGTCTTCCAGAACCACAAACTTTATTCGAAATTGTGTTTCAGCTGCTGAACTTTTTCCTGGGAGTTTTCGTGGTCTCCAGCTTGATTGGTCAGGTCAGTCAAGATGAGAAAACCAGGTACATGATGCTGTCACTGGGAAAGCATGTGCACCTCTGTCAACTTCGCAGGAAAAATCAGAATCTGTGTGGTGCTCTTTTCAAACTAACCCTCATCTACGTTCGTGAATCAGAGGAGGATGGGATGGGCCTTTCTGTTTTCAAAGCATCAAGTCTATTGGGGACCTGTGTGCACAGAGCATTGGGTTAGACTCACAGAGAAAGGCATGTTTCCAAAGTAACTTCCTACTTTTACCTGAGCTCCCCCAAAACCTTTTACTTAAACATTAAGTATTGCCATTGACCCAGGCTAGCCTGGCCAGCGTGGGTTGGTGTTGAGGGTTGATCTACAAACCAGGAGGTCACAGTTGGATTCCAGGTCAGGGCATATGCCCGGATTGCGGGCTAGATCCCCAGCAGAAGGCATGCAGGAGGCCGTCAATTGATGATTCTCTCTCATCATTGATGCTTCTCTCTCTCTTTCCCTCTCCCTTCCTTTCTCTCTCAAATCAATAAAAGTACATATTTTTTAAAAGGGGGGGGCTAAAATCCACTTCAGAGGTCATATAATGGGGAGGTCAGCAAATGCCGCCCAAATTAACTTAATTAAGAAGCCATCGGTTCATCAGTGTTCATTGTGGCAGCTCCTGTCTTTGTTCTCAAGGAGCCACAGTCTCGAAGGAAAGCAAAGCAGATGCATAAGTAACTATTGCGAGGCGGTTGGCATTTGCAAGAGACAGAGCCCAATATCTTCGCGGATTCCCAGATTCACAAGAAACAAAAAGCTCAACAGCAGAGCATCTGCAGAGTTACACCTCTCGGAAGGTACTTCACACTGCACATTTGAGAGTAAAAAGCCATGTTGAGATCTGTGTGCTGGGTAGAGTCAAAGAACATCACAGAGTGGTATTCCCGCTCACCTCACTCACCATGGTGTGAATAAAACCCGTGCTGTAACAAAACTTAACAATAAGCACTATTCTCTATAACACCTGAAGCTGACCACCCATAGTCAACACTCAGCTCCTACCTCTATGCGTGGCAAGGACTTGCCCTTCTTAAGACCAGAGGGAAGTTGGAAAACTCTGTATTCGCTCAGAAAGGGGGTGCTTCCCAGGAGGTTCCTTGGAGGAGAATTTGTTGAAACATCTTAAAAAGCAGGTAAGAGTCAGTACTTACAGGTGGGTGGTTTCGTCCATCTGATGGGCAGTGATGAGCACAGGCTGTGCTGGGGAAGTAGAACAGGTACCAGAAGGATGGAGGGAGGGACACTTGTGACTGAGGTTAGAGGTGTGTGTAGGGATGAGCTGGTTTAGGGCTCTGAATGTTCAGGCAAAGATACTGACTTTATCCTAAAAGCAATGGGAAGTCGGCCAGGGGAGGATTTTGAATGAAGAAGAGATTCAAGAAAGATTAGCCAGGCCGTAGCCAGGCCACTTGCATCTACAGCAGCATCTCCGCGTGGCCCGCCGCAGCATGGCCGCCGCCAAGCCTTTCCCAGCTCGTGCAACCAGAGCAGCGGGGAGGGGCGCCATTCCGGTGCTGGGTGACCGCGAAGCAGCACTCCTGGTTGCACACGGAGAACCCCAAGAGCCCGCAGACAGGTCACCTCGAGGCGAGGCTGGTGGAAGATCTTCGGCCCAGCAGAGAGCACATTCCGCACGTCGAGTGTGTGTCGCCGACGCTGCTTCGCATTCATCAGCGGGACCCTGAAAGCGAGGCTGAGATCTTGCTATTGGGTCGGCCTCCTTACCGAAAGGATGTGTCCGAGATGATCATGAACTTGGCTCACTATCACCGCCAACTCAAGCACAAGGCTCCTGGAAGAACGCTGCCCAGCAGGCCGAGCCCAGGAATTCTCCACTGCAGTCTGGGTAGCTGCAGTCCAGGCCTCTCCCGACGCTGTCCGCGAGAAGGCGACCCAGTGATCCCCCAACACTGTTCAAGAGAAGGCGACCCAGCTGTTCCCCAACACAGTCTAGGAGGCAGCGACTCAGAGCTCCCCCAACGCTATCCAGAGCCCGGGTCCCAGGTTATGAAGGCATTTCGGGGCCCGGAGCGTGAGCCAGGCAAGGTTCAAGTGAAAACCCCTGTCTGGAGCCCTATTCTATTTTTTTAAATATATTTTATTGATTTTTTACAGAGTGGAAGGGAGAGAGATAGAGAGTCAGAAACATCGATGAGAGAGAAACATCAATCAGCCGCCTCCTGCACATCCCCCTACTGGGGATGTGCCCGCAACCCAGGTACATGCCCTTGACCGGAATCGAACCTGGGACCTTTCAGTCCGCAGGCCTTTCTATCCACTGAGCCAAACCGGTTTCGGCTGGAGCCCTATTCTAGGTCCTGCTTCTGCCAGAAGCTGGGGAAGATAAAGGGTGGTGTGGGTTGTTCTTGGTTTCTCCTTCCCACCCCCATGTTAAATGTTTGCAAACACAAATCTAAAAAGTTGTAACAAAAGAATCAAATTTCCTTAATAAAGAATTGAATTACCAAAAAAAGAAAGAAAGAAAGAAAGGTTAACCAAAATATAACATAAATTGGAGGGGTGGTACTTTTTGAAATGTAGGTTTTATTATTACTTAGGTAAGGTGAGGACAACAGACCAGGATGCAACTGGCATCAAAACATCGTTTTACAAACAGATCCCAGAGGACGGGTCACACAGGTGGCCACAGGAGGCAGGGCCAGGGTGGGAGCAGGTAAGTGGGGTTAGGAGTCAGGTGATATTGTGGCTCTGGGGAGTGAGAGCTGCCTCTAATAGTCTGGCCCCGCCCTGGGGTGAGGAAGGCAGGCGAACAGTGAAGGGGCTGTGAGTGCCCAGGAAGGAAGGCTCACACTGGTCAGTCTGCATCTGGAAGGTGCACACCCCGGATAGTTTTTTGCCAACTCCAGGAATTAGCTAACTCTGGAAGGGGTGGTCCCCATATATCAAAGCATCAGACACACAGCCTGAGCCTGGTAACAGAGAGGAGGGAGGCTGTGGAAAACAGTTAGGTTTGAGAAGATAACAGAGAGGAGGGAGGCTGTGGAAAACAGTTAGGTTTGAGAAGATGAACACCAAGCAGTTAACAGCTGTGTGTCTGAAAGAGAACTTTAGTGGCTGGGAGGTTGCATTAACGATGATTGGAAGTCACAGGTAGGTTTCGAGAGAAGTACAATTCAGATTCACATGTGTAATGTATGCAGTCATAAGCTGCAGCCATGTAACGTACTATTGGTACTAACAGCAGAATCCAGCATGTGCTCAGCACTCTCTATGTCCAAGGCAATGTTTACAAGATTCAACACGGTCTGGCTCCAGGTCAGTACAGTGGGACCTTGACTTACAAGTGTCCCGACTAACGAGTTTTTCGAGATACGAGCTGTCTCTTGGCCGATTTTTTGCTTTGAGTTGCGAGCTAAAATTCGGGTTACGAGCCAGCTTCAGATACCCCACCGCTAGTTGGCGCAGTGAACATCACAGTGAACACCACAACATCAGCCCAGCATCACGTGTCTCACTCGTTCACAATTGATTTGACGTACGAGTAATTTGAGTTACGAGCTCCATCACGGAACAAATTAAACTCATAAGTCAAGGCCCCACTGCATTCTTGCTACTCAGATGTATCCTCAACCAGCAGCAGAGTCTCCTGGGAAAGTCAGATTCAGGCTGGACGCAGGCCAAGACCCAAGGAGCGGACGTCTTTACTGTAAGAAGACCTTCGGGTGGTTCCTGTGCACGGGAGGTTTGAGAAGCGGTGCGTACACACCACCCCACCTGCCTTTCTGTTGACTGAGATTCCGACAGGAATGGGAAGAAATGCCTCGCTGCTGGAAATGCAGAACCAGAGCCCCAGGGCAAGACTGAGGCAGGAGGTGGAGGCTGTGCCTTGAACTCTCATCGTGAGCAAAGGTGATGAGAGCTGGACACACACCTAGGAGGGCCTGGACAGAAGCATGGCTCGTTCACAACCCACCTATAACCAAGACATGCCACAGTTTACTGCAGGCCTCTACCCTTCAACCCCAGAGACCCACACTCCCCCTCACACCTCATACCCTCCCTCACCTGGAGCACAGGATGGATTCGGGTCAACCTCAACTCCTGCACCAACAAACCCAGCGCATGAGCCACTCAGATTCCTGTCGCTGCCAGTGCTGGGCCTTCAACACGGCTCGATAATGCTTTTAATGGAACTTGGTTCCCAATTTAAAACTCTATTAAATTTCCCAACCCAGCCTCCGAGGGCTCGGTCATGGTCACCATTTGTCAAGAGCAGCTTGGAGAAAGGAGTGAGGGAAGGAGGCCCTGCGGAACGTTGGGAAGAGACCCTGGGAGTAAGTCAGGCTGAGGTGCAGGTGTCCAGTTGACTCCTGCACAGCTGCTCAGAGCTGACAAGTACCAGGGTCTAAGAATTGTTTAGATAGATAGATAGATAGATAGATGATAGATAGATAGATAGATAGATAGATAGATGATAGATAGATAGGGAGAGGGAGAGAGAGATAGAAACATCAGTGATGAGAGGGAATCATTGATCGGCTGCCTCCTGCACGCCCCCTGCTGGGGACCTAGCCCGCAACCCCCGCACGTGCCCTTGACTGGAATCAAACCTGGGACCCTTCAGTCCGCAGGCCGATGCTCTACCCACTGAGCCACGCCAGCCAGGGCGAGCCTATGATTCTGAAATGACATGTGAGGAAGGCGTCCCAGAACAGCCCTTTGAGCCGACCTCAGGGAGGAGCCATTTCTCCTTGAGCAGGAAAGGATGGCTGCGAGGAGGACTGAGCCCGGCCAGTGCGGGTGGAAGTGGGCCCCCTCTTCACCGCCCCTGCTAAGCCCCCCATCAACGCCAGTTTCCGCCGCTGGCTTCCCTCTGTGAGAGTCCAGCTGCACTGTCTGTGTGAGGCCTAAGGTCGGCTTTCACCTGCGGGGTCTCGGGGAGCCCACCGTCCGCACAGAAGCTGGCAGCGCCCGGTGCTGCGGGTCTGCACGTGCAGCGTCTGCCCGGCGCCTGGAGCGGGGTGGGGCCGGCTCCGGTGTGGGCGCCGCCCAGGAAGGCCAAGGCTGCGGGCCCAGGGGCCTGGAGCCCCGACCCACGGGAAATCGAAGAGGGGGTTCAAGGAGACCCCCAAACAGACTAGCCAGGCCGCCCGGGGAGCCGGCTGGGCTTGCACTCCTGGCGCGCACGCGGGGGATGGTTTCCAACCACCCGCCTCCTGGCGGCAGAGAACTGCGTGCGGCCACGCCCTTCACGCCCGCGGGAGAAAACACAGCGCACTGTTCGTTCGGGTGAGGACCTGCCCAGTGATTTATGTCAGCGCTGGGAACCGGACCAGAATCGGGTTAGAAGTCCAGTTGCCAGGAACGGGGTGCGGGCCGGCTGACCGGGCTCTGCTTCCAGATGCGCGATGTCATCGGAGCCGCCACGGCTGCGCAGAACAACTTCCGGGCCAGCCTGGATCGCACGGTCACCTACATGCACTCCTACGCCATCCCCAGGCGAGTGCGGGCCCGCGTCCAGGCCTGGTATGAGTACACGTGGGACGCGCAGAGGATGCTGGGTAAGTGGGCACTCTGAGAGGATGCTGAGTACACGTGGGACGCGCAGAGGATGCTGGGTAAGTGGGCACTCTGAGAGGATGCTGGGTAAACGGGCACTCTTGGAGGATGCTGGGTAAGGGGGGCACTCTGAGAGGATGCTGGGTAAGCGGGCACTCTCGGAGGATGCTGGGTAAGCGGGCACTCTCGGAGGATGCTGGGTAAGCGGGGCAAGTTCCTACATCCCCCACCATGTCCTGTGACGGGCGTTCAGGGGGCCATGGGGAAGCCACCGGCTTGGAGCAGGAGGTTGGGAAACAGCTCAGTGACCTCTAAGGTGTCACTGACGGGCCAGGGCCTTTGTGTGTTTTTTCTTAACTACCCAGCCCCTGCTTACTGGTTCTGCAGATCCTGGGAGAGAAACACTGATTTTATTCCGCAGCAGCCGGGGACAGGTGCCACCCGCATTTCCTCATAGCATTTGGGAAATTGGGTGCCTTCAACCCCGCTTAGGACACAGGGAATGGGGGCCCCCAACTGAAAACGTTGGCCAAGGGCTCAAGAGCCAGCAGATCCCTGCGTGGCCCCTGAGGACCCTGGGCCACCACTGCCTCCTCCGAGCGCAGCACTCAAACCAGCTCCGGGCGGCTGCGCAGGGCACCGCCTTGCAGAGACCCGCGAAGTCCTGGGAGACTGTTAGGCAGATGCTGCATCACAGTCATGATGAGACGACATAAAGCAGAAGGTGATGTGCTCATTGACAATAACCAGATTCAACTCTTAGTTTGTTCCCTCCCATATAAAATGGGGGAGTTAGTGCCACTGAGAAGCAAAAAAAGTGTTTAAGTGCAAATCACACTGCGATTCTCCATCAAAGGTTCTTGGGAGCAGGTAAGAGCCACTGGTTAGAGTAGGACACTGCGCTCCCTCCCCCTCTCTGCCCGCAGAGCCTCTCCCTGAATCTGAAGGCTGAGACCACCCCATCCCTCTGGGGGAAGTGTGGTTGCTGGCAGCTCCCCTCTCTTCTCGGGGGCACCACTCCTGCCTAGGGAACGGGACACAACCCTCCCGAGACAAGGGGCTATCCTTTATAGAAGGGGTCTTCATATTTAGAACCAACACTAGAAGCAATCCTATCTAATAAAAGACAAAAAGGGTAATTGACCGTACCTTCACTATGCTTTCCATTGGCTAATCAGGGCGATATGCAAATTAACCGCCAACAAAGATGGCGGCCGGCAGCCACACAACTGAAGCGAGCAGGAAGCTTGCTTGCTCCAGTGATGGAGGAAGCCAAGGTTCCCCGCCTGCCGCAGCCCGGCTCTGAGCTCCGAAAGCAACAATGTTTCAATTATAGAAGCTAAACAAACCCCAGATACCTGCTTTTAGTAGGCCGCTCTCAGCTCCAGTGACGGCAACAAAGTTTCAATTATAGAAGGTAAATAAATCCCAGAATTAAAAAAAAAAAAGAAAAAAAGGAGAGAGGCTGGGAGCTTCAGTCACCTGCCAGCCTGAAAACGGCCCTCAGCCCCTCACCCAGGCTGGCCAGGCACCCAAGCGGGACCCCCACCCTGATCCGGGACACCCTTCAGGGCAAACCAGCTGGCCCCCACCCGTGCACCAGGCCTCTATCCTATATAGTAAAAGGATAATATGCAAACTGACCCTAACAGCAGAAAGACTGGGAATGACTGGTCACTATGACACACACTGACCACCAGGGGACAGATGCTCAATGCAAGAGCTGCCCTCTGGTGGTCAGTGCGCTCCCACAGGGGGAGCTCTGCTCAGCCACAAGCCAGGCTGATAGCTGCCAGTACAGCAGTGGTGGTGGGAGCCTCTCCTGCCTCCTCAGCAGCTCTAAGGATGTCCGACTGCAGCTTAGGTCTGCTCCCCGCTGGCAAGTGGGGGAGGGCTGCCAGGCTGCCAGAGGGATGTCTGATTGCCATCTTAGGCCCAATCCCCCGGGGAGCAGGCCTAAGCCAGCAGGTGGTTATCCCCCAAGGGGTCCCAGACTGCGAGAGGGCACAGGCCGGGCTAAGGGACCCCCCCCCCCAGTGCACAAATTTTTGTGCACCAGGCCTCTAGTATAAGGATATAACACAGCGATTGTTCTAAATGGTTATAAGAAAATGTCAAAAACGATAACTCTCAGAAACTGGTAGCATACTACACACGAGAATGGGTGGTTTTGTTTATGGAACGTTCTACCAGCCCATCATTTCATTCACAGGTAGGAACCTGTCCATATATCCACGTTCTTCACTGAGTGGATAAGCAAGGAAACAGCAGTAACTGGAATTTCGTCGCCACATTTCTTCTTTAGGTCCCGTTCCCCGCGGAGCCACCCCCAGTGATGCCTCTGAGCAGCCTCTGAGCATTGTTCTGTTCTGTTCCCTCTTTCCGCAGAGCAGGGATGAGAGCGTACCCTTAGGGTTGCCACAGGGTCACATAAGGAGGACAGAGCCCTGAGCCTTCAGGCGCCCGTAGAGGTTGCCATCACCTGCTCACCCCTGCGCTGCCTGATCCTCAGGTTCAGACAACAGGAACTAGACTATCCCACCCCCGCCTGTCTGTTCACTAGCCGTTGCCCCGTGGCCACTTAACTGTATTTAAAGTTTCAGCAAACACAGGTTCTGGTTTATTCAGAACTGTTATATCGTCCACAGTAAGGTCATGGTGCCGCTGGGCTGGGCAGTGTGGCCAGTAGGCGTCATGAGCATAGAATTTGATGCCACTCGCTACTTAGAGAAAGAGTTGGCATTTTGTTCAGTTTTGTTTTCCCTCATACTTGGCTGATGTTTTCCATTAACTATTCTACCCTGTGGGTGGATGTGTTCACCTTTACCAAGACGAGTCGGACCTGCTCGAGGCCCTGCCCGCCGCCATGCAGTCAGCCCTCGCCGTGGACATGAACTTCAGCATCCTCAACAACATCGACCTGTTCAAGGCAAGTGCTTCACGATGGGTAGAAAGACACCATCACTGTTTCTCTGTAAAGTCTAAGCTCTTGCTGTACGCAATATTTATGGTTTTCTCCCTACGTGTTAACAAAATCAAAATGATCTGGAGAATTTATGTGGAACTAGAGTCAAATAAACGCTGGGTCTCCCCTCAGCAGATGCCTTATTCTTTGGAAGCCTCTCTCTCCTGAAGGGCCAAAGAGAAAGACTTCCTCGGGCTCTTCCTGCGCCATTTAAACACCATCAGACCCTGCGTCTGTCTGCTGCTCCATCTTCCGTCCTCCCCTTGTGTTGTTGGATGTGTGTGGGCCTTGACAGGTGGCCCAAACTTCCTCTGCAGGGCCTGACGATCAGAGAGCCCTGCCTACCCTGTCTCCTGTTACAGATGCTCCTGAGCGAAACTTTTTGATGCCCAATTCTAATTTAGAGGCTATAAAAATGCATAGCAAAGTTTTAACTTTTTGAATGTTTTTCATTTTAGCGCCCTTTTTTTTACCTCGATATATTTTATTTTTTAATTTATTTTATTGTTGAGAGAATTACAGATGTCCCCCATTTTCCCCCCTTTGTCCCCATCCACCCACTCCCACCCCATCCCAGGCCTTCACCTGTCTATTGTCTGTGTCGATGGGCTATGACTAATTTGTACTTCTAAATCCCTTCACCTTTTTCACCCATCCCCCCACACCCCTCCCATTTGGCAACTGTCAAAAATGTTGTGTTTCTGTTCTGCTTGTTCATTTATTTTGAATTTTAGATTCAATTGTTGATAGATATGTATATACTGCTATTTTATTATTCCTATTCTTGATTTTTTTTTCTCTTCTTATTCTTAAAGAAGATCCTTTAATATTTTATGTAGTACTGGTTTGGTGGTGATGAACTCCTTTAGCTTTTTCTTATCTGTGAAGCTCTTTATCTGACCCTCAATTCTAAATGATAGCTTTGGTGAGTAGAGTAATCTTGGTTGTAGGTCCTTGCTTTTCATCACTTTGAATATTTTCTTGCCACTCCCTTCTGGCCTGCAAAGTTTCTATTGAGAAATCAGATGACAGTCAGATGGGCACTCCCTTGTAGGTAACTAACTGTTTTTCCCTTGCTGCTTTTAAGATTCTCTCTTTGTCTTTAACCTTTGGCATTTTAGTTATCATGTGTCTTGGTGTAGGCCTCTTTGGATTTATCTTGTTTGGGATTCTCTTTGACATGTTTCTTTGTCTCCACATTTTGCTGCTTTTCTGTGTTTGTTTCTATGTATTAGGTAGATCTGCTAAATCTCCCAAACTAGGTACAGTGGCCTTGTGTAGTAGATGTCCTGGAGGGCCCAGTGGCTCAGCCTCCCCTGTCACCTGATCTGGGCACTCCAGGTGCACCCCTGTGTGAGCTGTGTGCACTGTCATATTGTAGTTGAGCCTTGATTTATGTTGGTGTCACTGGGAGGAATTGACCCCCAGGCCAATCAGTAGCAAGGATCAGCTGCGACTACAGTGGAAGAGCTGATGTGTAGGAGCCAACCCTATGGAGCAGGCCTTGTTACAGTGGGGGCTTTGGTGCTCACCGAGTCCACCCCTTGTTTGTTATAAATATTTCTCTCTTTTCCACATCCAGCATGGCTAGAGAGTGGTCTGGTTCCTGAGTAGGGGCGGCTGGGGATTGAGAAAATGAAAGAAGAGACAGACACAGAGATAGAAGGAAAAAGCTGGGGCCGGGTGGGACAGCTGTCCTCTGATGGAGAGACTGTGACCCAGAGCCGATACAGCACATTTATTTTATACAGCAAAATACTGGAAGTTTTACTAAAGCCCAAGACATAGGAGATTATGTGCATTTTTGTGGCTTCTTTGTAATCGTCACTTCTGGGTGGGCCCGGATAATCATCGTGTTTGTTCCTGGTGCTTGGCTGAATTTAGATAATGAAACCCACCCCCTGGTGCCTGAGCTGAAGGTCAGGCTGACAACACACCTGCCTCTGGCAAGTTGTGTTTCCAGTACGTGGCTCTGCCAACGCCATTGGATTCAGCTGACAATAATTAAAGAAACGCTCATGTGCCTTCCCAGGCGCTCTCTACAGTTTGTGTCACTCGTGGAGGTGGTACAGTTGTAATCTGATGTGGTTGAAGTGACCACCTGGTACACTGGGAAGTACAAAGTCAACCACTTACTGTACCCTGCCTGAGCTAGAAAGCAGTCTTCAGATGGCTGCTACTTATGTTGGGCTTGGAGGTGCCCAGGAGAGGCCAAGCCATGAACCAGGGCAGGCTGCCACCAGAGCTGGGCCTGGGGCCACTTACTGAGAGGTACAGGGTATGTTGAGGCCAGCTGCTGCTTGTTTGAGAGATTTTAGGAAAGTCTGAAGCATGAGGCAAGAGAGGCCAGTTGTATGGAAACGCCACTGGATATGGCTTGGATGAGCCTGCAAGCAGGGAGGGGCAGGGCCTCAGGGAATCACCAGGCAGGGTTAAAAGTGTGAGCCAGATTGATGGAGATTCAGATATGGAGCCTTGACTGTCAGCTCTGTGACAGGGAGGGCTCAGCAAAGGAACAGTGGCCTCTGCTAGGCCTCTGTCTTGGAGAAAGCTGCCCCTCCAGCTCTTGCCCTGATTCCAGGCAAGTTAGTTCCTCCCCGAATGTCCCAGGTTCCTTGCAAGCTGGAGCTCTGAGGGAGTGATTCCAGGCCCTTTAAGGGAACTGCCTGGGACTCCAGCAGCCTCCATTCACTAAGTCACACTCCCTGCTGGTTTTTACAGCCAGAAGTTGTGGGGACTTCTCTTCGAGGTACTGGAATCCTGAGCTGGGGGGGAGGGGGAGGGGCTGGTTTGGAGCAGGGACCCCCTCATTCCTCAGGGAAACTTCCACAGCCAAAATTTCCTTCCTGATTTTAAATCTTCCACACATGGGTGTCAGACCCATGGTTCAGCAGTTCCCCCCACATCTCTACCCCTCCTACCAGTCTCAGTGCTTCTTCTTTAATTCCCCAGTTGCAGAACTTCCATTCAGTTAGATTGCAGGTTCTGAATGATGATTGTTCTGTATTTTAGTTGTAATTTTTGTGTGGTGTGGGAAGATGCGAGTACTGAGTTTACCTATGCCGCCATCTTGACTGGAACCTAGCACCCTCTTCTTAAAAGTACACTGGATTTGAGGTTTTTCTCCTAACAATTGGTTCTGTGTGGGATCCACCTACTTAATTCATTCACAGTTATTTATTAAGTTCCTGCTGTGTTTTGTACCTCCTGGGACTATTTCAGCCACTGAGAATACAGTATTTTACAGCAAATACCAGCACATGCAGAGCTTAAACTCCAAAGGAGGAAAATGAAAAATAAACATGTAACGTGTGAAGGGCATAGTGCCATGAACAAAGGAAGCAGGTTCAGAAGAAGGAAGATGGAGCTGGTCCTGATGCAGTGCTGACTGGAGAGGCGGGGCAGGGGGCCCTGCAGACTGGAGAGAGGAGGGGGGAGTGAGCCCTGCAGACTGGAGAGGGGAAGAAAGGGGGAGAGGTGGAAGGAGGGCCGGAAGCCTGGAAGCCCGGTGCTGGGAGGCGGGAGCCAGGCAGAGCAATGGGGAAGAGGGGAGGCAGGCGTGGAGACTCGGTGCAGACTGGGTGGTGCTGTGAAGTGAGGCCACTGCAGGCCTTGGGCAGAAGGTGACCTATTTAAGAGCAGTTTGGGAAATGCCATTCTTCCTGCTGCCTGGGAAACAGGCCCGAGGAAGGCCCAGTAGGAGTTGCCGTGACCATCTATGCAAGAGGTGACACAGACCCGACCCAGAGCCGTGGGAGCCGAACTGTTCAGAAATGGCCAAATGGTTCTCGCTTCGGCAGCACATACACTAAAACTGGAATGATACAGAGAAGATTAGCATGGCCCCCCTGCGCAAGGATGACACGCAAATTCGTGAAGCATTCCATATTTTAAAAAGAAAAGAAAAGAAATAAATGGCCAAATATTGGCTGGATCTGGAGGGGAGAGCCCGGCATTGGCTGGTGGGCTGTGTGCCAGCGGGGGGAGTCAGGATGCCACCACGCCTGAGCCTGAGGAGCAGGAAGAGATGGGATGGCATTTGCAAACCAGGAAGGTGCAGGGCGAGCAGGTGGAGAGAGACTCTGCATGGGATGAGGTCGTGTGAGGTGACAGACTTTGGACAGGATGGCGTGGAGGTAGGGTGATAACAAACCTGAGTGCAGGGGAGAGGGCCACCTGAGCGGGGGAGAGGGCCACCTGAGCGGGGAGAGGGCCACCTGAGTGCAGAGGAGAGGGCCACCTGAGTGCAGGGAGAGGGTCACCTGAGTGGGGGAGAGGGTCACCTGAGTGCAGGGGAGAGGGCCACCTGAGCGGGGAGAGGGTCACCTGAGTGGGGGAGAGGGTCACCTGAGTGCAGGGGAGAGGGTCACCTGAGCGGGGAGAGGGCCACCTGAGTGCAGGGGAGAGGGCCACCTGAGCGGGGGAGAGGGCCACCTGAGCGGGGGAGAGGGCCACCTGAGTGCAGGGGAGAGGGCCACCTGAGTGCAGGGGAGAGGGTCACCTGAGCGGGGGAGAGGGTCACCTGAGTGCAGGGGAGAGGGCCACCTGAGTGCAGAGGAGAGGGCCACCTGAGTGCAGAGGAGAGGGTCACCTGAGTGCAGGGGAGAGGGTCACCTGAGTGCAGGGGAGAGGGCCACCTGAGTGCAGGGGAGAGGGCCACCTGAGTGCAGGGGAGAGGGTCACCTGAGTGCAGGGGAGAGGGTCACCTGAGCGGGGGAGAGGGTCACCTGAGTGCAGGGGAGAGGGCCACCTGAGTGCAGGGGAGAGGGCCACCTGAGCGGGGGAGACGGCCACCTGAGTGCAGGGGAGAGGGCCACCTGAGCAGTGAAGTGGGCACATCCACATGCTGATGTGTGTTTCCGCTCTGGGACGGGTGTCATCCCCTCGGGTGGAGGCGTGGACAGAGAGAAGAGGTGATCCAGACAGAAAGACGTGGGACAAGGGGACAGCAGAGGGCAGTAGGC